ATAGAGAGTATGCACGAAAGACATTTGAGATGGATATTGGGAGTAGAGAGATGGACACCGGGATACATGGTAAGGGAGGAAGTGCAAAGAGAGATGATGAAGAGTAGGGCTGGAAAGAGGGCGTGGAAATTTGAAGAGAGACTGTTAGAGGGAAAAGGTAGCGGGTTAGCACAGAAATGTTTATGGGAGATAAGGGAGAACGCGCGGAGGGGTAGGGATATGTCGAGTTGGGAAAAAGAGAGGAGGTTATTTTTTGAGGAAAAAGGTTTTGAAATAAGAGAGATAGAGGAAGCAAGAGAAGAGGGAAGAGTAGATTTTGAAGGGACCATAGGAAAAAGAGAGAGAGATATGCAAAAGGAAGAGAGATGGAGGAAGATAGGTGAGTCAAGAAGTAATAGATGGTATGGAAGAGTCAAAGGGGAAGGGATACCAGAATACTTGAAAAAGGGATGGGGCGAAAGTAGATGGAGAAGAGTACTGAGATATAGGCTAGGGAATGAGATGAAAGAAGGGAGATATTGGGAGGAAGAAGAGAAAAGGGTATGTAGACTGTGTGAAAATGAGGTGGAGTCATGGGAGCATGTGTGGGAAGAGTGCATGGATTGGAGTGAAAGAAAGGGGGAAACATGGCAAGCAGTGTATGAGAGAATCCTGGGAGAGGAGGGAGGAGGTGAAGAATGGATGAGGGAGGTGGAGTGTGAGAGAAACAGAAGGGGGGGAGGGTGTGAGATTGAGGAGAGAGAGGGGAAACGGAAGTCCATGAGGGAGGGAGAGGGGGGAGAATATGCGAGCGAGAGAGGGCGTGCGAGCGATAGGTGGCGAGCGTGCGAGGGCAGAGAGAGAGATCGGTCGGTTGCGAGCGCATATTAAAAGAATGTAAAGGTTTGGGTACGTTCCTGAAAAAACGCCACACCTGTATAATATTTAGTTTGTAAGTTTGTTTGTTCGTTTTTTTGTTTGATTTTTATTTTATTTTATTTTTATTATAAGTTGGTTGAAATGGCGGATTTGATATGTCAGATATGTGGAGAAGAGGATAAAATGTAAGAGGTTTGGGAACGTTCCGCTGAAAAACGCCTTGTAATCCCCGAGGGGAAACAATAAATAGATTATATATATATATATATATATACATTAAAATTATGCTTCCCGGGAAAAAATTTTCACATATGATCATATATAATCTATATGCTCATATACGAAAAATGTCCATATATAAGATATCATATGTATCATATATGATCGTATTGTTGTGCCCCGATTGCATAAAGAGGTAAGGAGGGCACTCAAGCAATGTAATCGCATGTAAAATAACACTAGCGTAAGCATATTGCGCGATCGAGCCACAAAAGCCCGACCGCGCAACCTAATTAAATTCGGAGAAGAAGTCAGCTAGTTGTTGACCCGATTACGCATAACCTCGATCGAGTACCGAGAAACCTCGATCGAGTACCGAGAACGCTGACGCCTCGATCATCGGGTTTAAAACCGGAGGAAAGCCCGAGATCGGGGCACTTGTCACTATCGCGCATCCGATAACATACTGTACGCGTTAAACACTTGTCCGTCAGGCCTTCGGCCTGCCGTCAACCAATCTTGTGAAACTCAGTTAAATAAAGTTAATCTGTGAGATCCAACGGTGCCTTCTTGAAGTGACCTTCGACCAGCCACATCCCATCAAAGAACCCCTTCGTTTCTCGTCAGAGAACACCTCCGGAGTGAGTAAGAAGTAAAATACACCGCGCACGGAGCGGCGCGGCAACAGTATATGATAATGTTTTTGTCATATATAACAGTATATATGACAAATACATTATCATATACGATCATATATGATGCACATGTTTGTCATATATGACAGTATATATGACAAACACATTATCATATACGATCATACATGATACACATGGTATCTTATACATATATGGACATTTTTCGTATATGAGCATATATGATTATATATGATCATATGTGAAAATTTTTTCCCGGGTTATTAATTGTAAGGCAATATAATTTATGCAACAAGTCTATTTATGCTCGAAGTTTATTCTTAATAGGAATTTTTAAACGCGACAATAAATGGTTACAATTATTAAGTTTAAACAATATATGAATAGTAAAAAGTTATTATGTTCAATAATAATTTTATTATAACAAAATTTTGTGGAACATGTGACTTTTTATTTATATATTTCATATAAACAACTATATTAATATTATGTGATAATTTTTATGTCAATTAACGTAATGGACTCAATAAATTTTTGATAATTCTAAAAAGCTTTTATTTATACCTGCAACATGTTTTTCTACCTTTTTCTCTCTTTCTCTGAAATAACTAATATCGTAACTGTTTACTTTTGTTTCGAGTAAAAGACATAAAAATTTTTTTTAATTCTATAAAAGCAATCTAATACGAATTTAAGACAAATATTTTTTCTACTAAAAAACTCATTCAAATGTTATAGCAATAAATGAGATTGCATAGTTTGTATGTTTTTCAACAGAATTTCTGTTTATAATTTTTTATATTTAAAATATGTACTTTTTCTTTCTAGTAATCCAGATACAGCACAATATTTAAGTTTTCCTGCTATAAGATGTAGCATGCAACGTGAACGAATAAAAAGTCGACCTCCTGTACCTGATACATTAGCAGCATTACGTGATATTGTGGAAAACTGTGATATAATAAAAAATGTGTATGAAGGAAGCGTAACTACAAATGATGGAAAAACTGCAATAATTTTATCTAGCAATTATTTACTAGAAGCTTTATCATCTGCTACAGAACTCTATGTAGATGGAACATTTTCTGTAAGTACCATAACCGTTTCCTCTGTATGACATTTTGACAAAAAATGACAATAGTATAGTAGCAAGTACAATAGTATAATAATAGTACAGTGGCAAACAAATTGTAACAATATTTATAATGGCTAACATATCATAACACTTAATATAATTTTGAATTAGATTATGAAAAAAATTATTGTATATGTCTCTCTTAAGGTTCTCCCGCGCAAACCTCATATTATGCAACTTTACTCTGTACATACACGATACATGGATACGGTAAGATATTTATTTAATTGACATTTTGGAAAATTTGTTAATTAAAATTGTGAAACTCAGTAATAATCTAATTTTTCCAGGGCATTGCAACATTATTCATTTTGTGTGATGTGCGTACGGCTACTATGTATGATATTTTGTGGGATAAAATTATACAGCTGGTACCACAACTTAAACAAAACATTAATTTTGTAATGAGTGATTTTGAAATGGCTGCAGTAAAATCGCTTAGTACGAAGTTTACCACAGCAAAGTTAACTGGATGTTGGTTCCATTTCAACCAAGTATGTAAAACAATCATAAAAAGATAAAAATAT